CACTCTAACCACTGTGCCACCTCGGAGTGGAGTGGAGTAGAGTAGAGTAGAGTAGAGTAGAGTAGAGTAGAGTAGAGTAGAGTAGAGTAGAGTAGAGTAGAAATAGAACCGAACAGAACGGAATAGACTAGAGAATAGAATAGAACAGAATAGAGAATGGAATGGAATGGAATAGAATAGAATAGAATAGAATAGAATAGAATAGAATAGAATAGAATTCTTTATTGGCCAGGTGTGATTGGACACACAAGGAATTTGTCTTGGGTGCCTATGCTCTCAGTGTACATTAAAAAAAATACAAATTAAGTAACATCATCAGTATTAATGGTTGCATGCTGGGGGATTCTGGGAGTTGAAGTCCACAAGTCTTAAAAATTGCCAAGTTTGGAGACTCCTGGAATAGAAAATTGGAAGTTCCACAGGGCCAGAGGGATGGTACAGCAAGCATGGCTAAAATGTCTGAACAGTGACAATGATTGAAGCGTTTCAGATCTCAGATTTGTGTTTTATAGACATGCTGGGCACCTATCTGGTTGGGATTGTGGGAAACTGTAGTCCACTGCATCTGAAAAAACCCCGTTTGGGAAAGTTTAGCTAATCCACTTTGCAGATTTGTGACAAAAATGTGGCAGCTGAATGCCTACATTTGAAAATTTCTTTCCCCTGAAGTGATGGGAATTTGCTTCTGCCTGTCAGTCAGAGCACCAATGATGTTACCTTGTTGGATGCTAAAACATCTGTAAACCAACAATTAAGCTCAGAGAGCACCAAGGCCTCCGTAGCCAGAGTATATCAATATGGGGATTTATTTTTTCCCCCTCAAAGGTTTCATTCATCAGAAAGTGATGTTTATTTACAGCTACCATATCTGGACTAAGAGATCCAGCTGAAAAATAGACACTTACACCTCTTTGCTGCCATCTAGTGCCCATATAGATTTGTTCAGCCCAGATACCATATAGCAGAGATCCTCAACCCCCAGGCTCCATCTGTGGCCTGGTAAGAACCGGGTCACACAGCTGGAAGTTAGCGGCAGGCAGGTAAACAAAACTGTGCAAGCGCAGGATCTAGGTCGCATCCTCCCCCTCATCCATGTGATCTCCAGTCCATGGAAAAAATGTCTTCCACGAAACCCATCGCTGGTGCCAAAAAGGTTCGGGACTGCTACCCAATAGCATACTGTTCATGATGTATCTGTCAAAAACTCCATACTGTTGGGAGAAGTTAATGATGAACGTGAGTGGGGTTTTCTTTCTTCCCTTTCTCTTCTTTCTGCCACTTGCCTCTCTTTCCCTCCCCACCAGCAGGCAGCTAAAGGAATACCTGATCACTAGCAGACTGCTTCTGAATTTAAACCAGCTGTCCTTGTTCAGTGCACTGTTCTTACTCAGGGTGAAGTCCAGGGGTGGGTTCCTGCCAGTTCTAACCTCTTCTATAGAAGAGGTTCCACAAATCTAC